GTACATTTGTACTAGTATATATACTAGAATATAAATTGGCCGTAAGTTTTGGAGAACATGACGTTGTTCTTAGGAGATTAGGCTGTATGATCTCCGCATCTCCATCATATCATACTGACCACTTCTCTCAATAAGATGATCTTTAGGTATGTAGTATCGTTTATGTAATCAGCAGTAGGTTTGAAGTTTTCCTTTCAAAATTAAATGAGAATTGACGCTGCACTGTCGCAAGAAATTATTTATGTTCATCTTTCAATGCTTCCTTTTCCAGTCATTGAGCTGCAAACCACTTGAATCCACAAATGACCAGAAAAAGCATTCAGAAAATGTATCAAAGCAGCAGAGTGTTGGTTCAAGTAAAGAAATGGCGCGGTCTCAACCTCAAGAATCTTCTTTCATTGATAACTTCATTCCACCACCACCTTCACTAGGTAGAAATTAATTTCTGTTTGGGTTAGCATGCTTATTATAGTAAATGTTATTTCCCATGACAATTCACAAAATCCTTTGTTGGAACATGCTTTCTAATTAAAAAATACTGCAAATTGTTACTTTGTTGAGCCTCTGAAACTGAAATTGTCGATCCTGTATTTACTTACCATCATAATGTTTTCCATGGTTCTACAAATTCTCTTGCCTGTGATCTCTCATTCTACATCTGTTACTCTAAGATCATAGGTCATGGCATGGCTACTGGTTCTGCAGCTGTTAGGTCTCTGTGTTAATTACCACAGTACATAGATTAGACTAACAGAATTAAGTTACTTGTAACATAAATAAATCTTACTAATAGAAATAAATTATACTAAACTTGATATAACTATGTTATGTAGCTTGAGCTTTTTAATTATCATGTATAGTCAAACCTTAATATGGTCATGGCAAAATTATATGTTAAACTTTTATATTCACATCCCATACGTTATGCGTTTGAGTTATGCATAAAAAAATGATTGCAAATGCTTTATAGCTGTTCGACTTCTGACTACCATTCATTTTCTTAATGTTGTTTAGTTATTTATTTTCAGCAATTTTGCCAATCTTTTTGCTTACTAATTTTTTAATGTTATTGAATGCTTTTGATACCTCACATACATTTAACTTGTCATTTGTATGGCAGAATTTAAGAGTGATTCTGAAATGGACATGTCTGATGTCAAGAGGAATCTAAAACGTTTACATGAGTATAATGTAATGCTAAGGGAAAACTTGGTGGCTAGGCAGTCTCTGCTTCATTCTCCATCATCTAGGCATTCATCTCAAGTAAACAGTAATCAAGGTGAAGTTTAACCAGGTTTTTCTCTGGGGAGTGACGAAGATGAACTGAGAGCAGGCATTGGTAAAGAGAATCATCATCGATGCATGGATTTAATTCTGATATGGGAGTTGGTCCTTGATCGAAACAGTAGTTGGAAGTAATGATCAGAAAATATTCTGTATGAACCTCTGAAACATGTAGCAATGTAGCATTCCAGGCTAGATTCTGCTGCATTCAAAGCTGCTGGATGGATAAAGCATGGTGATCAAAGTTTTCATGATTTTGTCTGGTATTCTTTCATGTTCTTCTCAGATTGATCTTTTCTATGGTCGTGGATGTACTGTTTGTCATGAAACCATATAGCTGATGTTGGCATGGTGTCTGGTATTCTCAAATATTGGTGGAGCTATTTGCATGTCTATCTTGCAAATTAATTAGTTAGCCAGCCATCAAAAGATCCATTGGTGCATGCTAGACCATATCAATTAGGTTGGAAGAAGCAGGTTTGGTGCTGTTGGCGATATAATTGTATTGATCCTGGAGCGTAAAAAAGTTTAGGCACAGATCTCTATTTAGGTCTCCATGTGCATTTTCCTTTCGGGTAGATAAATGTGTATCTTGTTTGTATTTGCATGTTTCAAAAGTAATTATCAAACACGCCTCATCTAAAACTAGGCGGCCATCATGCAGTATTTGAAAATTTAGTCATATTGTTCATAACTTGTAAATAGTATTGCTTATTATAAATTTATAATGTCTTGTTGTGATATTGTCACATTCCAATCTGATTCCATCTACTTTTTGGTAGCCTTCTCAAGTCTGAAAAGCAAGCATTGATTTATGTATTATTCATGAGTCCCAACCGTGGAAATTTGTCCCGCCATATTTGGCGAGTGGGGTGGGAAAAGAGCTTATACATATAATGGGAGTAGTTCCATTCAGAAAGCATTTGGGTCCCCTCAACCAGTTCAGGGGATCTCTTCATAGCCTTTACATAAGGTAAATCCAGTCGATCTGATCATTTTGTGGATGCCAAGGAGCCACAATGCATTTTCAGCGTGGAACAATCTGATTGCATTGTTGGAAGCAGAGCAGGACAAAGACCAATTCCCTTCAATCATTTCTACTCTCTTTCTCCTATGCATCCCTCCAGCTAATTCCCTTCAATCATTTCTACTCTTTCTCCTATGCATCCCTCCAGCTCAATTTCTATGTCAGTATCTGTGACTCTGTTCCCACTGCCCATACAAAAACCATGCACCCCTGTTAAAGCATATAAGCCATATATTTTCTGTGTTCTAACTTGCACCACTTCTAGAGATGCTTGTATAGCTATGCCCGCTGCCCGCTTACCGAAAATCAGGAATCTTACTTTTAATGGTGAAATCAGGGAAACAGGAGAAGTGTGAACTTCACACCGCTTTGATGGGATTCTTGTGTACAAACATCGAATACACCAATTTATTCCTGCCAATATAGCCATAAGAGGCGACGATGGTTCTCACGAATAAGAGGGATGTATAGTCTCCGTTAAATCTGATTCCAAAGCCAACATTCTCCAAGCCATCTGACCAGTTTGATGAAGAAATGAAATCAAGTATGAATCCATGTTTTGAGCGTCACCTTCGCTGGTCCTCTCTCATCTCCTCCAACGTGGCCCTTTGACGGTGGACAACTGACATTATCTCAAATGAGGCAGTGAAGACACCCAATACTCCTCTGGTCCTAAATATAAGACTCTATACTAGTGTGTATAAAAGTTTTATATTTAGGATCGAAGGAGTACCCGAATGTATATGCGACCTTTATAAACTCCAAGTTTCTGTATTATGCCTCAATAGTGTGGCAGGTATGGGAAAATAAAATGTATCTCTATCGATATAATGCTGATGACATTACGGAGCAAGTATGTCAACTCAACATAATCTCTACTTCTAGGAGTATCCTTTATCCTAGATGCACTGGGAATTATCAAACCTTAGGCTGCCGAAGGCCATACCTCTAGGAGGAACAAGAATTCAATCAGAAATGGGAGCCGGTTCATTCTTGGTTCCATCCCACCAATTTTGGCCCAAAATTTTTTTCGATTTTAACAAGTGAATTTACAAGTTCAACTAACTCATTTTCAAAATATGAAGCTGACGAAATCTTTAGAAAATCTCTCATTTGTTTTGATGTGATACCATTACTTGATATGCTTGCTCTTTAGCTCAAGCTGCATGAGGAAATACTGTTTCTGCCGCCGTTAAAATGTTATGCAACTGCAACCATGCATCGTGACAAATATGGGAATATGGGTTACGTCGGCGCGTGCGTGACTCGGCCAATATCCTGTCACTTGCCGCACGTCCGTAGACTGTCCAGTGCAGGCAACAAGGAATTGGCTTCATAATGTTTCATAATTCTATGATTCAATAATAATTTTATAAAATATTAAATATAAACCGCTCAAAATTTGATCCCATAGGGGAGAAAGAGTGGAGTAATACGCAAGTGAAGAGAAGCCAAACTCTAAGCAACAATGGGTCTCGTCATAGTGATTACACAGCGTTAACAGAAGAACCTGAATGGGAAATATGTTACATTAAAAATAAATACAACCCCTCCCCGTGAAGAAATGACCCGTTAAACCCAGCACGGTAGAAGGTCCGCGTCATTAAAGAAAACCTAGACGTTAACAGAACACAATAGACATCTACAATAAAGACGGGACTGCAAGGGTTGCGAAGTTTGGGAGACCGAACCCCATGCAGCCAACTCAGTTTCATAAACCACAGCAGGTCGACATGATACAGCTTCTTCTCGCTCTTCGAGGATACCAGTGAACCGGATTGTTGCTCAACTTGCTACGTCAGATTCAGTCATAACTGAGAAACCATCATAATACTAGGATAGTCCTTCGCCGGCGTGTCGCCAGAAAACATCAGGAATTTTAAGTAAAATGTGATCATTATTCATTCCGCTCATCAACAATATTGAAACCTGGCTGCAGCCCTGCGGATGTTCCATCAAGAGCATGGTACAAAAAATTTTCTCCCCCTTATTCTGTGTAGCTCTTTTTTAGTTCTCTACCACTACTAGAAGCAGAAGCAGCATCCTTCCCAGAGTGCACTCCCAAAGCATGGGCAAAGATTCTCCTCGCAGCTCCCAAGTGCTCCATTTTCATGTAGTCTTTACTTGCCCTATTGCCGTGTTTTACATGTTGGGAGACTTGTGGTTTGTCAGCATTCCTTTCGTTGGATGAGGAGGAGTCGGAAGTGCTATCATTTCTTATTCCGCTGTTTGAGTTCCTTTTTGGGTGTATAGACTCTTCCGGACCTTTCACAAGGTTGGACTCTTGACTGTTCTTATCTTGATCATCTGATACATCCGTACATACTCTATCCTTCATATTATTGGTAGGCAAGCCATTCTGATTTTTTGAGTGGATGCTTTGACCTAGTGCATGAGCAATCATTCGGCGGGCAACCACAGGCACGCTTCGGGGCTTCCGTTCACCAGACCCTTTCACATCATCCAAATTCATGGAAAAAATTCGCTCACGAGAAATCAAATAAGCTTGTTTCCTCTTCTCTAGTGACTGTTGGATCGATGGTATAGTTGTTTGAGAGGCTGAAAAAAAGCAGCAGAAATATGAAGGCCTGCTCAAGTGAGTGTGCCACACTTAATTTCATCAAGAAAAAATTTTCCCAATCATTCGCCGTGACGTCCCTAGTTTCCCCAAATTTCTTCCAGTTCTGCCTCAAAATCCCAAACCCCTGTCATCCTCCATAAACTTCTCCAATCCACAAGTCACTTCCCATTCTCAAGTTCTTGCTTAGTTCAATCCAATAGCTCTTACAAAACTGTATTAATTCCATTTCAAAATCCCTAATTCCTTTTACCAAGTCTCGCACACTCCAAATTCTTCTCCCATCTAGATATTCTTCCCCAACTTTTCAATCAAACATCCCCGAGTTCTTTCCCCCGCCCTCAATTCCTAATTGAAAGTGTTTTTTGAGATAAAATTTGGAAATATCAGCTGAAATTTGAGGTTTTCAAATTGATAATTAACAAAAATTAAAGCATGAGGCAGTATTGTGTCAAAGACTTAATGGACCAAACATGAAGGCAGCAAAATGACACTCAAACGGAAAGTGAAGAAAACCTAAATCATAAGATAGTATATTATATTTTACTCATTTATTAACCATGGAAGATTCTATAGCCAAGATCAATATAGTGCAGAACATACTACAGTAAGTGACAGCAAGGAGAATAAATGGCTGCATGTATTACCCGGAATGGTTTCTTTTCTCCTTAATATTTGGTGTGATGAATTCAGATATTGAGGCTCATCATATTCCCAGAGGATATCACTAACCAGGATGGGAGGTCTGCAATATATCCACATACACAGATTATTTTATGAGAGACCTCAGAAGCATTGTTGATTTCTTCAAATGTAGAGAGACTGGTTAGATAAAATAATCTACTTGATACTTGATTTAAAACAGTGAGAAGGACAAGATTCCTTTTATTTCACATACATAGATGTCTCCGGACACCTCACCAGAACCAAATGGCGATCATCTCCTTCACCAACAGATTCATGCGCAAACCTGACACCAATAGCAAAACTATCAATTTTTTTCTCCAAAAGATACAAATTAAAAAAAAGAAAGAAAAGAAAAGAAGAACAACAATAAAGAAACCAAATTGGAAATTAGAGGTCAAGTTGCACAGAAATAAAATTTATAAAAAGAATACCCAAATATCTCTGCAAGACGATGTAAGAGAAGACGACTATAAGAGTTCATTGGCTCCAATTCCAAGACCCTATCTGAACTACAATTCGAGAAAAAACATAGATCAAGACATAGATATGATACAAGGGGAAAAAGGTTCTAACCTTTGTCTGCTATGTATTAAATTGAGGATGCATACACTGAAGTGGCACAAAAACCACCTACAATGAGATGCTACAAAAGACCAATAAAACAAAATGCTCGTCCCCCACAACATCTCTTCTTTTATCTATGAACTAAGGCACAGACTTAAAACAGTTCAATTTTATGTAAGTGTGATTAAGAGATGCACTACTATGTTTTTCAAATCAATAAGAAACATAGAACAGCAAACATTTTTATAAGCCATCCCCCAGGGTCCAGGTCCAAATGCAACGAAAATGAAAGGAGGAAAAAATAGGGAGAGTATGATCCACTGGGCATCCATATTTGTATATTACCATGCTCAAGGAAAAATTATTAGCATCATTAAAACCTTTTACTTTCCTATCAATGGCTTGGACTAAATCTCAGCCTCAAAATCAGTGAAAAGATGTCTCATAAATTGTTACCCTGTGTTCTCATCCTGAAGGAAGTTAATTAGGGCTTCTTCCATAGTGAGAACTAGATGCTTGCAAGGAAGATTGTCCTTGACAAGAGAAGCCAATTCCTCGACCTGCAAACAACATAGATGTTCAAAAATATACCTCGGGGAAAATAGTCCCAAGTACAAGTTCAAAAAATTTTACAGCAATGTGAAAGCAAATAAAAATCAACAACACAGAATGGAAAAATAGCGGCATTCAGAAAAGATTAAATTTTCCGCCTTCTGTTCTTAATTCTTGAAAGTAAATCCTAATCAAAGCTGCCATTGCATCGCCTTAAAAGGAAAGCTAATCTAAGGAGCGGGCACCATACGAACAAATTGTAGTGCAAAACTAAGAGTTGATCGACAATTTAACATAAATTCCGCGTGAGATATGCATATTATGTCATCAATTGGTTACCCGATACTATAGGTAAAAGTTTATTCCTCACATACAATATCCGATAGAAAAAGATACTTTTGCTTGGGAAATAATTTAATGAAAGCGCTAAACGTAGTCGATTTTGCAGCCGCCAAATAAGAAATGCTCCAGTAATATTCGCAAGAACTGAGAACTTAGAATCACCCAAAGAGGCCAGTAAATTTATAGAAAGCAAACGACGAAACTGGAAAGAAACCAGAGCAGGGAACAAATAGAAAAGCGAGGGAAAATAAAAACGTTACGCATAAACACACCATGGCGAATTGGGTCAAACTCATACTGACGGAGTCTTGCCGAGGGTTCAGGGCTTCTCAGGCTTCCCGGCAGACACAGCGAAAAAGACGCTCCCAAAGGCAGAAGATGCTTCCCCGACTGACATCTCGCTCCTTGGGGCCGCGGCTCCAGATTTGTCCCAACTCTAAACGCGGCGTTCTAACGGAAATATAAATAGGTTAATTTGAAAAATAATACTCTCTCCGTTTCTTATTATAAGAGACGAATAACAGAATTACGTTGATTAAAAAAGTAGTTAAAAATAGTTAAGAACAATCAATGTGTAAAAAATATAATTTTTTTCAAAAATGCCTTCATTAATAAGGAGAGAGAGTATGAGAGAGAATAATTAAATTATTGAAAGAAAGAGAAGTGAGAGGGAGAGAGTGTGTGAATTGGAGACAATAAATATGGGTAAAATAGAAAATCAACACAAAAAAGTAAAGACAACTTTTAAGTGTCTCTTATATATAGAAACATGCCATAAGCACCAAATGTCTCTTATAATAAGGAACGGAGGGAGTAATAAATATGCGAAATACTGAATGAGTAATGAGAATTATCTCTGTGAATTCTCAACATATAAAAATAAATAATAGATAATAGAAGTGCAAATTTTTATTATCTCGAATATTAAATAAGAGAACGGACATTTTTTTAAAAATACTCAATAAAATTTTGGCCAAAAGAAATACTCAATAAAATTTCATTATCTTTTGAGATTGTATGAATGTATATGAATAATTACAGCCTTCACTTTGAGGTTTTTTTTTTCTTTTGGGTATACCTTTGAGTTATGAATACTCGTACACGAAACAGGTCCAAAAGTCATAATCAAGCCCAACCAAATCCCCGCATGAAATGCAGGCCGTGACGTGGCACATCTGCAGTCATGAGGCCGGCTTCATTTGCGGTGCAGGTGACGTGGGGGCTTGCAAGCATTCGGGTATGACCCACAGAATGAAACGGGGTGTCCCCCCCCCCCCCGGCGCTCCGAGTTTCCGAAAGAACATCCATTTTGTCCCATCAGCGGAGGATGGTGGGCTTAAACAAGTAGCCCAAAAAGAAAAATGGGAAGAGGGGAGTAGAACGAGGAAGGGAGAAAGAATGTGGGGAGAAGAGAGGGAGGGTGCGAGGAGGGCGGGGCGTCCAAAGAGGTTATATATATATTAGAAGAGGGAAGGCAAGGAATGAAACGTAAGAAAGAAAGATGAAGATGGTGATGATGAGGAATTTGGCGAGGAAGGTGGCGGGGGTGAGCAGCTGGAATGTGAAAGGCAGTGGCAGCAGGGGGTGGGTGGTCGGAGTGAGGCATGTGCAGGTAATTAATATGAGTTCAATTATATTGGGAATAGGAATAGATTTGATTGATGATGGGTGCATTGGAATGAGACAGGTAGGCGGCGAGAGCGGGGAAGCAGCCGGAGGAGCCATCACGACGATGGAAGAAGTAGGCAAGGCATCATCAGAAGTGCAGCAAGAGAAGGCATACTCCTCCTCCTCCTCCTCCTCCTCCTCACGGGAATTGGATGCCGCCGACCACAACAAACCTCGACCATCTCCTCGCTTTGTGAAGCAAAATGCTGAGCGCGTCAAGGCCTCCATGAACACCAAGAACACCAACTGAATCCCATATTTATCTTCCTCTTCATACTTCGTTCTATTGTACCTATCTGACTTTAGGATCCTATGAGCCCCCTCCCTCTTCCTCTCTTTACAAACATACAAGACCTTAATCACTACTAATACCAATAGCAATTTTTTATCAGCCCCGCTTCATAAATTGATCCCTTTTTCTTTTCTTTTCTTTTTTTTGCCAACGCTTTTATCAATTGATTGTGTGCATGTGATTAGGGAGATGGCGCTTAAGTTTCAAAATAATTAATTAATGATAATCGGATCTTGGATTTTTTATTTTTTTAAAAAACAATGGATGGATTATCTATGACTATAAATAAAACTGAATTATGAATAATTATTTATAATTCAGTTTAAAAAGTCAAAAAGCTGACTATCATTAATTATTTTTCATGACGTAACTCCAGTTCTCTCACGCATTTAAGGAAGGGAAAATCTAGTCATAAGCTTATTTGGAATAGTTTATAAGTAGATTTACAAAATATAAGATAAATATATAAAAGAGTTTTATCTTAATCTATGTAAAATATGTTTATAAATATGTTCAAACGTTTTTAGAAACAGGCCCTGTATGACTCCAAGATATACATAGATTAGAAGCGTGTTTGAGGGGGTGGTTGGATATAACCAAACCATGGTTTGAAGAATAGCTTCTGGAGAATAGATTCTAGGGAGAATAGATTTTTTGAAGAATAGATTTTGTGAAAAAGTGATTCTGAGAAGTGAGAGTGTTTGGATAGTTGTTACCAGAAGTACTTTTTACATGTACAAATTACTAAAAAAAGCATAAATTAATATGACAATTACAGAAAAAATATATTTTATGATATATTTTAATTTGAATGAATGAAATTGTTAATAATATATTTTTTATTAACATAATTAACAATACATAAGATAATATAATTAATAAATAATTAATATGTATATATATTTATAAGATATAAGATTAAATATATTTATAAAAAAAATAACAAGATACATATCCTATAGGCTCACACTCTCCCTTTTTTTTCTAAAAGCAAACATTTTTTGCTTTTTCCAAAACCATGGTTTTGGTTTTTTTAAGGGTGTTTGGGTGATTTTTTCTCAAACCATGGTTTGGGTGGGTTATCACCCAAACACCCCCTGAGTAATCCAAAATCACTTTTCAGAAACACTTTTCCTTAAATCGAGACAAATTTTTTTACATATTTATTTTGTATACCGTAAAAACACTTCTGAAATTATAATTATGTTCTTACCCAAACACTTTTTATATTGACCTTGTACGCCTCATCGTTTCATTAACCTTGGAAAGTGAAAGAATATATATACAGGGGAACAGGGGAAGAGTATATAATTTGAGTGATTGACATTTAAAAAGAAGAAAATACATCCTTTATGACATTCTTGCAGATACTCCCTCTTATACTTATTATAAAAAATCAACAAATTAATTCACGCAGATAAAAAAATATTAGTTATGTCATTAAAGTATAAAATTTTTCCAACCTATTCATATAACAAATTTCGAAGAGACAGTGAAAAGTTATTTACTTCAACAGGGAAAAAATTCATTAATGACCCTCTTAATTCCTTATAACAATGACTAAAATTTTTTTTTAGATAACTGCTTATAATAAGGACCGCACATCTCCGCTCCTTCTCCAACTGTATTTCGTTGGACTCTTTTTTTTTTTTGGTATGCTATTTCGTTGGACTCACCTTTATGAGTTTAGCACTCTTAGGTTTCATTCGCTACAAAACATTGAAAATAAGAGATAAAGACTAAAACTGTAATTGAGAAAGATTATTAAAAAATATTTAACATATGTAATTGTTTATTTCATAGGATTAGGCAAACTTATAAAAATAGGATTGGAAAATACTACTTCTTCTCACGGTATTTCTCAATCCCCCATACATAGATTTATCTAATTCCATATAACAAGCAATTTTTTATATTAAAAATTTTTTAAAATTTTTTTCAATCCTAATTTTAATTTTTATCCCTCATTTGTAATTCTTCTTACTAAACAAGAACTATACTGTTCCTGCGCAGACTATGCCAATGTATCGTACAAATGAAACGGCAAGCATTATAAGCAGGAAGAAAGAAAGCGAACAGGACGCCCTTTACATTCTTTCTATTTTGGAATTTTTTTAGCGGAATCGTATCATGATTGTTAATGTTATATTCTTCCGGTCCTAAATATTAGGACGACATCTCAACTATATATTTCTTGTTTTTTTTCCACCAAAATGTTTTGTTTACATCATATCCAGGGAGGAAAAAAAGAGTTAAAATGTGACATGACGACCAACGGGATTTTTTGGTCCAAGACCAACGGGATTAGATATGATAGAAATAGTTAATTCCTTATAATGTGATGAATTAAAGTTTAAATTTCTACTGAAAAAAATGTTTATATTTAATATTTGAAAGTGTTTCAAGATTATCTTCAATAAAGAAATGCCTATATTTAACCAAAAGATAAGATGTGGCATGGCGGGCGGTGAAATTAACTAAACTAATTGAAAAGAGAGGCATCGAGAAGTACGGTCGACGGAGATTCCGTTGGGTGGATTAATGGATTTTAGCGGTCGAGAAATGACAAGCTGCATTATAATCTGTAGTTCTGGTCACCATACCATGCCCATCGTCCCTTCACTTCCTTGGATTACTTTCTCACTTCGCTCACCTCTCCGTCCTCGTCCTCAATGGCTCCTCATTTTGCTCTTCTTCCTCTTTCCACTTCCCCCCACCGCCACTTCTATCCTTCTTATTTCAAACCTCCCACCACGTCCTCAACACCCCGAGGTATCTTCTTCATTCTCTTCTCTTCATCTCCTCCAATTATCTTTCCCTCCTCAATTACTGCCCCTGTCTTTCGCAGGATTCTCTGGATTTTCGGTCATCACCTCTTGCTCTTCTAATGGCAGAGACGCGGATGGCCTCAAGAGCGACGACCGCCTTCGTGAACAAAAACGACGAGCTGAGTTGTCCGCTCGCATTGCCTCCGGAGAATTTACGGTGCAGCAGTCTGGGTATGTCTTCTCGTCCACGTCTCTTTCTACCGGCAGTACTATCTCTCCCTTAGCTTTTGTAATTGATCGTAAAACGACTCCGGGCCGTACCCTGCCACAGTATCACTCGGCTAACTCTACCTAGTCTGGAATTCGTCTCTTGTTCTCTCGCACTTTCAATAGCGATTTTACTGTATACATTTCTGCCTTCACACGCTGCCCTGCCTTATTAGAGCTTAAATTGTGATTTTCATCTTAATCTCTTTCGGCTTTAAACTAGTTTCCCGTCTGTATTAAAGAAGAGTTTGTCAAAGTTGGGCATGCCCGAGGAGGTTCTGGATCTTTTATTCGGTAGAACGGATGGTCTTCGTGAAAACCCCATAATTCCCGAGGCGAAAGGATCAATCAAAGCCATTCGAAGTGAGGCCTTCTTCATTCCATTGTATGAACTTTACCTAACATACGGTGGAATTTTCAAACTGAACTTTGGGCCAAAGGTTGGTTTTATTCTTTCATGCTTATATCCGCTGACGTGTTGATGTTTTTAACTACTGTGCGGCAGCAACACCGTATAACTACTATTCGGTTGATTCCCACAATCCCACTTGATTATCATGCAGTCTTTTCTTATAGTATCTGATCCATCCATTGCAAAACACATTTTGAGAGACAATTCAAAGGCATATTCAAAGGTAATTAAATGAATAATGACTGCCAAACCTTTGCATATCGCAGTCCCTCATGATTTTGTCATCCCTCCACATGCAGGGCATCTTGGCTGAGATCCTGGACTTTGTAATGGGAAAAGGGCTTATCCCTGCGGACGGGGAAATATGGCGTGTTAGACGACGTGCTATAGTCCCAGCATTGCATCTTAAGGTTATGTAGTATTTTTGGACTGATGTATTTGAAGTCTATGCCCCAAAATATCATAGATCTACCTGAGAATTTATTGATAGCCACTTGCCATGGTCACGATTCGAAGTTTTGCACTCTAATACTGGAAGAGGTGACTAACTTATCATTAATGCACATGGCATAACTAAATAATGTGGTTTGTGGGATAAGCTTGCTGACATTGTTACTTAATAAACAAGTTCCCTATTTAATACTCATCACCAGATCATTGTTTATGACCGTAGAGCATCATCTTTTGATTCAGTAGTATGTAGCCTTGGGATATTGCAAGCTATTTCTCTTCTACTCATGTTTTCTTGTAACATCTCCATGATTATCCTTTTGTGATATTGATTTGTTTCTTGATTTTAACCGCAGTATGTAACAGCTATGATTAACCTTTTTGGACAAGCTACAGAGAGACTCTGCAAGAAACTAGATGCTGCAGCATCTAATGGGGAGGATGTTGAGATGGAGTCACTTTTCTCTCGTTTGACTTTGGATATCATTGGCAAGGCCGTATTCAATTATGATTTTGATTCTTTAACGAATGACACGGGTATAGTTGAGGTATGGTTTTGCCATATTCCCCTTCCCTTCTGTCAATTGATGTTCAAGATTTCACCTTTTCTTTTGGCGCTTATTCTCAATTTAGCTACTTTAGATTCAAGCTTCACATGTTGGTGCTTTATTTATTAGATCAGGCTGTTTATACTGTACTGAGAGAAGCAGAAGATCGAAGTGTTGCTCCAATTCCTTTCTGGGAGATCCCCATATGGAAAGACATTTCACCACGTCAAAGGAAAGTTGCTTCAGCTCTCAAATTAGTCAATGACACGCTTGATGATCTGATATCAATTTGCAAGGTAAAATTGATGATTCTGCTCCTAAATGGTCACAGATAACATGTGTTTACCCACATGACACCTCAACAGAAAGGAACTTGCTCATATTAGTGAGCTGTCAAGGCCCCATAAGTAACAGGTTTATGATCGAGTACATTGATGATTTTGGTGGTGTCTCACAATGCATGAATCTCTTACTAGGTCTCCTACATTCAGAAACCATGATTCATGGTCATTGAAGCACCCGATGTGAGATTATTTTGACTATTGACATGACATTTACAAGTTAAAATAGAAAAACTTTTGGATTTGGATTTGCTTATATATCTTGCTTCGAACACACTTTTAGCACAACATGCAATAGCTTCTTTTTTGCTTAATTGTTTTGTAAAAATACCTGCAAACGTTATATTTGTTGGTTGATATGCTTGTTTGTGAAATTAATGTTGGGTTCACTAGTCAGTGAAATTTCTTCTTCCATCAGTTAAACCAGAATGAAGTTCAACAATTCATAGGATACTTGGGCTGGCTCCTGAAGACAATTTTTTCTACTAAATTCAGCTGGCATTTCATCAACAATGTTCCTTTTGCAGAGAATGGTTGATGAAGAAGATTTACAGTTTCATGAGGAGTACATGAATGAAAAAGACCCTAGTATTCTGCACTTCTTGTTAGCATCGGGAGATGATGTATGTTAGCTGTCTGTCAAAGCATGTCTTAATTGATGTGAAACTGGCTTTAGTACAATATAATGACTATTTGTGTAGGTATCAAGTAAGCAACTTCGTGATGATTTAATGACGATGCTTATTGCTGGACACGAAACATCAGCTGCTGTTTTAACTTGGACCTTTTATCTTCTAGCGAAGGTAATATGTTGCTGAACTTTAATGAAGACAGGATTATAATTGTTGTCTATGTTGCTTATCCTATCCTTGATTTGGGGTAGAAACTTCTCCCTGTGCGAAGCACGAGTGGTGTATAACTACATATGATTAGATTTGAAATCTCAGTTCCACCCTAGAAAATTCATATTTTGCTGTGTACTTTTTAAACTATAACATTTCTTATATAAAATAAAATAATAAAAATAGGGCATATATATATGGATCAATCTCATTAAGGCACATAAATACGGGGAGAGAGCATATACACATATAATATGGATTTCAACCTGACCCATTTAGGTATGAGCGGGTATTACAAGATTTCATATTAGATTTTTCTTGATTAATTTAAATTCCTGATAGACTTCTTTGAAGTTGTTTGGCAAACAGTGTCACTTCTTAGAGAGGTTATTATAACATGGAAATTGCTGTTATTTCTCCACCTGACCTACTGAAAGAAATGGTTATGATATTTATCCTATTGTAATGGTTCATTTAAGAATCTTTTTTTCCTTTCTGTTGGCTGCAGGAGCCTGTTATCATGTCCAAGCTTCAGGAAGAGGTATCAATTTTCTAAGCTTCCAAATCAGTATCAAAGTGAGCATTCAACTTCATACATATCTGCTAATATAATTGTTATTGATGTATTTATTGAAGGTTGACTCGGTACTTGGAGATCGATTTCCCTCTATTGATGACATGAAGAAACTCAAGTATACAACTCGAGTGATCAATGAGGTATGATGATGACATGTTGAGAATTGTGCCGAGTCTTCCTCTTGTATGGCTAGCAGATGACATTTTTTTTTTAAAAAAAAAAAATTAAACATATTTATTTTATTTTTAGTCATTGAGGCTCTACCCACAACCACCTGTGCTAATTCGCCGGTCTCTTGAAAATGATGTTCTGGGAGGATATCCTATAAAAAGGTAATCTTGAAAATGCACCACCCTTGATATTCTCGTGAAAAATAATTACATTTTCTTTGCATCAACTGCAAGAGGTATATCAATTTTACCCTCTTTACCTTGTATGAATATGCTTTGGGAGTCTAATTTTTGTTCAATAGTAAGTTTTGCTGTTCTTTATTTTCAGGGGTGAAGATATCTTTATCTCCGTTTGGAACTTACATCGGAGTCCAGAACTTTGGGAAGACTCGGATAAGTTTATTCCTGACAGATGGGCCTTAGATGGACCTAATCCTAATGAGACAAATCAAAACTTCAAGTATATAACATTTATTGATTTCTTGTTTTCTTCTCCAGCTCTTATTAAACGGGATGATGTCCTACTTGAGTATCTCTACACTTTACTGTAAATGCAAGGAATAATAATGTTTTAATCTTTTTTTGCCCCAGATATCTTCCATTTGGTGGAGGACCACGAAAATGTGTTGGCGATATGTTTGCTTCATATGAGGTAGGTTTGGTGCTAAGACATTCCTGTGCAGTTTGATTATTTGTTTATGGGCAGTCTTAATTAGCCAGTTGGGATTACCTCTGAAAATGTGAATGAATTTAATTTTATCACTGCTAATAGCCGGCATTATATTTATTCATACTAATGACAAACTTTTACTTGCATGATTTGTGATAATGATCGGATAGAATGTAGTTGCACTTGCAATGCTTGTCAGGCGGTTCAACTTCCACATGGCCCCTGGAGCTCCACCGGTAAGTTTGTTTGTTTGTTTAATACTTCTGATTTTTCATGTCAATTACATGGAACTGGGTTTGATGAAATCACAACAATCTCCCGTGCCATTTTCAAATTCCAGATATCTCAAGGTTCTTTTGACATTTACCTAACTAGAAATGATTGCTTAAATGTTTTGAAACTAAGAAACTGATCATTTAAATTTCTGAAACTGAGAGATTTGCGATGAGGGTCTGATTGACACACGGGGCTCTCATAGGTTGAAATGACAACGGGGGCAACAATTCATACAACAGAAGGGCTGAAGATGACTGTAACACGCAGAATGAAACCTCCCATTGTGCCTTCCTTGCCAATGTCGAGTTTTGATGCGAATCCATCCTTAAGCATTTCGGATAAGGACGCAGTAAGTCAGAAAAGGTGAAGTTCTTCGATAGTCGGTGAAACACAGCGTAAAGCGACTCAATATGAAATTTAATGGAGGGGGAAAGTACTGGATATTGAATTCTGTTTTATCTCCTAACCATGTATATCATGGCTGTCTATCTTAGTGAAGGTCAAGTAGTTAATTATGCGGCGAGGTTAGACTTGCCCCATGAACCGCCGCCGCGCCAACCCCCCCCCCCCCAAAAACCAAACTCCCCTTTGCCATATAATGTAAAGTCATTTTGATGATACTTGGCTTCAGTTCGCGTTTGTATGTGAGGGAAGAAAATGCAGAGAAAGGGAGGATATATTAACATTTCCTTTGCGTGGGAATTCAATCTTTGACAGGTGGAGGGAATCAGAGAATTTAGGCCAACTTTTTCCTAATCCTTACTCTTCAATGTTTCTAAATGCAGAAAGCCAGAACACATCACACACGTTTATAAACCATTAATATAATAATTTAAAAATTTTAGACAATTATTTTTCAACATTTCAACTGGATATAGTCTCCGGTGCATTTCAAGAGTACAAGGAATAAATTGTTTTATTTATGACTTGTGAATGATGCAATTTGCGTGGCACTGGCCGATTTGAAAGGTTCATAAATTCAAATCTGTGGTTTAAACTAAACGAATTTTATGAATGAAATTAATTAAAAAGTCAAATCTAAGAATCGCAAAAAAAGAAAAAAGGAAAATGGAACTCACATATCACGAAAAAGATATAAAACAAAATTTGAGACAATTACAAACATTAGCTCTATCAAGACAAATCAAAATTTGAAATTTCTGGCAAGTTGTACTGGTAAAAAAATAAAATAAAATAAGCTGTGAATTGAAATATTATATTATTACATTAGTAAACTCTTGCCTTGGTAAAAAAAATGTTAGATTCACCCACCACCCTAAAATTAATTTATAGTTCATCTAACATCTTAAAATATTTTTCTAGATACATCTAATATCTTAAAGTATTTTATAATTCATCCAATATTTAAAATATTTCTTCATGTGTAACGAACACCTTAATTTAGGACTTAGGATAATAGACATACTAGAAAAAATTCATGACATTGTAAGCCATGAAATACTTTAAGATGTTGTATATGCATATTAAAAAAAATATTTTAAGATACTGAATAAACTACTAAAGATGCTAAGGATGCCTGAAAAAATATCTTAGTGCTAGATCAATTTTTATTATAAAAAAAAATCGTTTCGCACATTACATATTTGACGCGTGATAACAAGTCCTTTCCGTTGTTGCATACCTACGAAATAGTGGGTATAAAGTAAATTGCCCAATGTTTCCAAATTAATCCAACTTCGTACCTTTCCGTATATCTCAGAGACTCAGAGAGGTCGTAAAACGCCCGTTATCTACTCATTTTAAGTCTTCATTTCGCCACTTAATCATTTCTTTCATTATCCTGTCACCGGGTATGTTCTCTGCCTATCTCTTTTTTGGAAAGGTTTGGAAGGCTCTTTCTCTTAGAGCCTGGCTCGCCTGACTTCCAAAACTCAAACTACTTTAAAGTTTGCAAAGGACATCATGATTGTGCAAAGAGGGGGCCTGTACCTCCGGTGTTACATTTTTCTGATTGGAAGCTAACATTTTCCTTTCTAGGGTGGCCCTTCCCTAATTTTTTAGCATATTAAAACATTTCAGCTTCTCTTGATTTAACATTGATTGCCATACGCTTCATCTTTATTTTTTGAAGACAAAATTTATGCCATAAGTGGCATGTAGTTGTTAAAGGGGGGAGGATGTGCTCAAACTATGTCCAAAATGACTCTAGAGAAAGAAAACTATTCCTGAAATCTACAATTCCAGTCAGACTAACATACAAACGCCATAGAAGATCATTTTAGTTCAAGCTGTTACCAGGTTCTGTTGTACATTAAGTATAGAATTATTAAAACAAATAATCTAGCAACATTGTATTTAAATAAGAGATTAAAAACTTACACCCAGCAAGAATTTTGGGATCTCCACCTAAAATGAAAAACTCCAAGCCAACATTCAAGACAAAATCTTTGAAATTTTTATGCGAAGCAATCCTAATCCTATGGCCATATTCCCGCAAACAAAACATTGACAATGATCAATTTATATTGCATAAAAATTAAAACTGACCTATAGAGTTGTCAAGGCATCAAGGACTAGAGAACAATGACGACGACGACGACAGGAGGACCATAAGAGCAGCTGACGGTTTCATAAAGAGTGAGAAGAAATGACTGGATGTTTGGGACCGGCTATAGTAATTTCTAAGTATAAGCAAGAGCCACAGTTTTATGTTTAAGTCAATCATATGTAAGTATGCTCTTATCCCATACAGGTGCTCATTAAAGCCTTAAATATGTTTAAGTCAATCATACGTAAATATGCTTTTATCCCATGCAGGTGTTTGTTAAAACCTTAAATTCCTTGAAAAGTTTCCTTTCCCTTGCAGACTGGAAAAAAGGATTTTCAGATTAAATTACTTTAGAAAGAAAAGAAAACGGACGTTTTGATGTTGTGAGGGTTGGAGGTGGCGAGGGGAGTGCATGAGAAAATCATGTAGAGCAAATTAGCATGGCATTAAAAGCTAGTCCAAATAAAACATTCACTTAAAGAACAATGACAACACTTCTGTATAGTTTACAAAAAAGTTATCAACAAAGACTTCATCACAAAAAAAGGAAGTTTTATCGAATGTATGCTTAACGTCAAATTTCTGTGTTCAAGATGTGACATAGATGCAAAACACAAACAGAGAGAATTACAATGTCATGCGAGTCTTCAGATTACATGGAGTTCTTATGCTGTGGCTCCAGTATGAGACCAGATAAGACTGATAATAAGTCTCCAGAGCGTCTCATTTCTAACAGTAGTTCCTGTTATGCAACTTTGCTGGCATTATGATGTGTAATTGTAAATAAATTCAAATATTTTAAAGATTGTAAACGGTTACTAACCGTTAGGAGCATTAGTTAGTAGGCATTAGTTGTCAGGCACTTCATTCTTCAACCTAGGCCTATAAATAGATATGAAAGGGTATCCAATAGTACGATATATTGATTTTCAGGAATACACAGTGCACTATTCAGTAATGCTTTCTGTTTTCTCTCCGTCTTCTCTAAATCTCTCTGCCTACTTCCTATCTTCCCCTGTCTCGCTCCCTCTCTGAATCTCTCTTCTATCCCTCTTTTTCTATTTCTATTCTATCAGTGGTATCAGAGCCAGTCTTTCCTCGGCATTACCCACAAAATTTAGCTTGGTTTATGGTACTTACTCGTGGCTAGACAAGAATTATGGAAGAACGACTTCGGCTACGGCACATTCGACAACAGGGCTCGGTAGCTGACTTCAACGATACGTTTGATTTCTTCTCCGCCAAACTTGATTTACCAGAAGACTACCTCATTGATGCATATGTTTTTGCATTGAAGGAAGAAATCGCTGACTCGGTTCGACTATTTAGACCAAGTACTATGCGTCAAGCCCGATCATTTGCAAGAACACAAGAGATATGCTTGCAATGGCAAGCCGAGAAAGCAAGAAAAGCCTTGGATGTCCAGAGCAAGCAGATGACGCCGCTGCTAGTGAAGAACAACACCCAAGAAGAGTGTTATGAGTTGCCAGATGCATCACCCACCCAAGAAGAATGTGACGGCAAGTTCAAGGTAGGCCAAGAACTATTGGCACGTGACATTAACGTCAAGAAGGATCTTCCGTCTGAGGCTGGGAGCACAGACGTAAGCCTGAGCGTCTGCAAAGAAGCTTCCTCTGCCTTTGTTTCGTCTGAAGTTCGTAGTGGCGGACTCATGAAGGCTCCCCGGTGCGTTATTGAAGATGGGCAAGAAAATGCCGGAAAGACCCAAGAAGCTATAAGCATCGAAGACGTACCCAAGGCAATAACAGAAACCACAAGTTCCTTTGGCTATCGCTTTAGAGTCTCGGGTGCGACAATGCATCACAAAGATTTGAGGATGACTTCGAACGGAGTTGGGATCACAACGCATGGGTTTTCCTTTGTTCTTCGCAACCTAGGGACTTGGAAGTACATGGAAACTGCCACTGCAATTGATGGGTTTGTGCGACTCGATCTTGAGGGCGGCGTACAAGAACCTTCGCACGAAATGGACACAATGGAAGTGACAGCTGGGTCGCGCAATATGACTTCAAGCTTTGCCTTCCTTCGGAAATTTCAGAGTGGGTTGCATAGTATATCTCCAAGCTTGGCACCATCACCTTTTATGTCAGCTCCCTCTTCGATGCTATGTTCTGTTTCTTCCTTGTCAACTTCTATCTTTGATTATCCTTCACCGTTCATTTCTGTTCCTCCTCGTGTCGGCCATGTTTTGACGAAGACGCAGAACTTCCTGCAGCTTTGGTGCTTAAGTGAGACTTCCCAAGCGGCGAAAACGAGTACAGACCAGGACTTGAATACGTGGCCGTATATTTCTCATGTTGAAAAGTCAAGGAGACAACTGGCATTTATTTCTTTGAAGTTGCAGTGGGTTTTCTTGAAATTCTACGAACTGAATGTCATAAGTGGAAGCCAGCTATCATCCATCATTGATTCATGGGTTCATGGGTCATCTAAAAAGGCCGAAGTCATTTGCATGAGCCCATTGATAAGGCAATTTCTCACATGGGCTTTACTTTTTCAATTTGCCCCCATCCATTTGTTCATTCTAATGTGGTATAGAGGACGATTGATCCAAATGCTCTTGGGGTCAACTGTAGAACTATTGCTACACTTTCTAGCAGCTGTTTTCAGAGTTTAATGCCCGAGTCCTTGGCGTAATTGTTTGTAATTTTGTTGTTTCTGATCCTTGAGGGCAAGGATCATTTTTGGGAGGGGGGTATTGATGTGTAATTGTAAATAAATTCAAATATTTTAAAGATTGTAAACGGTTACTAACCGTTAGGAGCATTAGTTAGTAGGCATTAGTTGTCAGGCACTTCATACTTCAACCTAGGCCTATAAATAGATATGAAAGGGTATCCAATAGTACGATATATTGATTTTCAGGAATACACAGTGCACTATTCAGTAATGCTTTCTGTTTTCTCTCCGTCTTCTCTAAATCTCTCTGCCTACTTCCTATCTTCCCCTGTCTCGCTCCCTCTCTGAATCTCTCTTCTATCCCTCTTTTTCTATTTCTATTCTATCACATTAGTTAATCCACTTCAAAATCCCAATTGTACGTCTTTCCTAAAGCATGCCAGAAAAGCAATTATATGCAACACATGTAATTCATTCAAATGAATATTTCTTGAAAACTACAATTCAAAAAATAGTAATGCGAAAAAAATAAAAAAAAACTCTAAACGCTTCC